GAGGAGGAGACAAGGAGGATGAGGAAGGGCAGGAGGAGGATGAACAGGAGGAGGAGACGTGAAGGGCAGGAGGAGGACGAAAAGGAGGAAACGAAGAGGAGAAGGGAGGAGGAGACATGGAGGAGGACGAAGAGGAGGAGGAGCAAGGTGAGGCAGCACTCCTGCAAAAAAAAAAATTCATCCCGCTTATAATTTTGGCGGGGGGTTTCGAACGCACCGTTTCGACCCCCGGCCTTCTTTTTATTTTCGGAGGGGGGTGATGGGTCATTCCCCGCACATGTCGTGCGCCGCACGTCGGGAACTGCCCGCACGAGGTGCGCTTGCATGTATGCTTTGTAGCCATCGGGGTATGCGAGCACATGCGTGCTATGCAATGAGGCCACGCACGACGTGTTTTTTTGCCAGGATAATTGTTTGTTTTTTTCCCTCGTATGGATGGGTGCACGATCTTCACCCATACTAGGTTTGAGCCCACAACTCCAGAACGCTGAAAAGCATCCTGGATTGGCCCATCACCCCCCCCAGAAAACCTCATTGTACACAGAAAATTCCTAAGGTGGCCTCATTGCAATGTGCCTCTCTCTCTCTCTCTCTCTCTCTCTCTCTCTCTCTCTCTCTCTCTCTCTCTCTCTCTCTCTCTCTCTCTCTCTCTCTCTCTCTGTGGTTGCACTGTAGCACAGGCCCACTTGGAAGATAGTGCCCTGGCCTGCAAAGGACAAATGGACCAAATCATTATGCACCACCAGGGCTTTTCTGCTACAGTTCAGAGACAAGGGGGTTTGGTCCACTACTCTAGACTCTTGATAAAGAGTTTCACATGGCTCCACTTACTTGAGAATCGGCCTCCCGAAAATTGGTTCTAGAGTTGACAAAACACACTCCCGAAATCATGAAGCGTCTTACCGAGCTCCGGAAGTGCACTCTAGATCATTCTAGAGAGCCTGCCTGCCCCCCGGGATTTTCAAATATGGTCATGAGGACCCTTGGTGGGGCCTTGTTTTCCAAAAGCGGGCCTGGAATCCCAGCGGACAAACTGGTAGTTCAGTTGTCCCGTAGTCATGTCGGCTAATGATTGCCAAGTTCAGCAGTGCTGCCTTCTAGAGTAAGTGGAGTGACGGCAGGTTCTTCGCTCAATTCGGGACTCTGACATCTCTAGAAGCACTCCAGAATTTTTTCATGAGTTTAGAGTACTGGAGCGAGACCCAAGGCCTTTCAACCCTGGTTCTGAACCTGATGAAGGCCAAAAAGGGGCAAAAATGCCAAAAAAGTTGAAAAAACTGTTTAAAAACATGCATTTCAATACGTATATTGTCACATAACTACCAACTAAAAGAGCGCACTTTGCAAAACAAACGGTAAGGATTAAAAAACAAGACAAGCATGAGGGGCACACCAACTTCCGTCTTATTTTCACTTGTTACTACACTCGTAGGGCTGTCAGCCTATCGCTGTTTTTTTTCTGTCCATGAAACCCACAGAAAAATGCATCCACCCTGCAAGGATGACACGCATAAATCTGTTAAAATTGGAACGATACAGAGAAGATTAGCATGGCCCCTGCGCAAGGATGACACGCATAAATCGAGAAATGGTCCAAAGAAAAAAAAAAAGCATCCACCGCTAGCCTGCAATGAAGTATTATGCTGTTCTTGAGTGAGCGTTCAAAAGAAAACTTCTTTTACTATGCGAGGCACGGCCGCCAGCCAAAGTGATCCAGTACTCCAAGCCCCCAAACCCTCGGTTGGAAACAGAGTTACAAACGCGTCGGAAGAAAATGGCTGGAAGACGTACTGGTGGTTTAAAAATCCTGAGGCGTACCCCTTGCAACCCCTTTAAAATTCATAGGCGGTGCTCGTTCTAACTCGATGCACCCCACCCCTTCCTGGGTGACCCATCACCCAGTTCAAAAAGTGGGCCCTATCCCGACTTCTCAGGCCTCTCAAGCCAAATGCAGTCCTGACACGAGACCAGAATGTTTTGTTTTTCTTTTTTTTTTGCCTCATTTTCAACCCACTGAGCTTTTCCAGGTGTGTCCCTCCCTGCCCGCCAGGCCAACGCACGGCCGCCCGAGCGGGCTGGTAGCCTAGATAGAAATTGGATTGAAAGTTGAAACTGAACTGAAAGTCTGAGACTCGATGAAGTTCAAAATTTAGAACTTCAAATTGAATTTCCGTCAAAGTTCAATTAATTTAATCAGCTGTCAGCCAGGGTGCCCCGCCACAGTTGGTTTCTTTTTTTTTTTTTTTTTTTTGCCCCATCGCGTGGCGGGACCATGGCCGAGATGTCTCGGCCACCCCCGATTTGTGAGTAAAAAAGCATCTGGTTGTGTGGCGGTTTTTTTTTTTTTTTTTTTTTTTTTGGGGGGGGGGGGGGGGAGAGGGGGAAGGAACAGAAAAATGTACCGCATAAAATCATTAACATGGCAATAAAAAATAAAAGGCAATACAAGCAAGTACCATGCAGGACTGTGTGCACTTCGGGCCCCGTGGAGAAAGGCAGACTAGCGACAATCCAAAAGTATAAATAAAGCATTCATTCTGCCTGTGAGCCGTGCCAATACGCTGTTGGAGCATCTTGTGTACGAAGGTCTGCAGGTGCCCGAAGGACAAGTGGGCTAAGAGGAGGAAGTCGGCCATAGCCGGCCTCGTTCGTAGGAAGGAGGAAGGCGGGGATAGACGGCTTCAGTTTATAAACACGCGTTCTGCAGAACTCCTTTCAGTTTATAAACACGCGTTCTGCTGTCCAAGACAGCCCGCCGTGCGGGGATAGACGGCCTCAACACGACAGCCTCAACACCAAACAATCCGAGCCAAGGGATTCTTCAAAGCACCAGTTCATCCAAGGCTGGCAGCTTCCCCTGCGCGCCAAGCTTTGCTGAAACACCAGCGTGGCTTTTTACTTTTTTTTTCCAATTCGCCTGGCTCTCCCAATTTCTCAAGTTGCCTGTGGCCATGTACTGGTGGTTTAGGACTTGTTAGCAAGTCCACGTTTCCAAGACAAAAAGTTCACATAGAATAGGGGGGTTGGTGTGTGTGTGTGTGTGTGTGTGTGTGTGTGTGTGTG